AAGAAGAAGAAGAAGATGTACACCAGCAAAGACAATGACAAGGCTCTTCTTCTTCGCCCAACAATCTCCTCCCTCTTATCTCCCCCTTCTCTTATTCATACAAGGAATAATAATACAATGTTGAATGACGGATCCAGAGTCAATGTACGAGTCCCTCTTCTACTGCAGGTATCACTCAAGGTCCACCATAGCCATGGCCGCCTCTCTCACTCTTCACTCTTATAGGCCGAGGCTATGGCGGACTACTGGGCACCGCTCAGATGCCCAAAGGACAACCCAAAGCAGCTATGGCTGCTCTAGCTCAGGCCGCCATGCCTGCCCCTACCCCGAAGCTTCTTGGTGTAGCTCTCCCCAGCTGGGGACTCCCTGCTGCAGCGCCCACCAAGGTGATGAAAATGGCTGCCACCATAGCCAGGTAAGTACCCCTGGAGCTCCTCCCCCTTCCTGCCTTCTTCCTCCTCCTTCGTCCCTCGTGTCCTTCTCCTTCCTCCCCAGCAGCGCTGCTCCGGCTTAGCGCTGCTCCAGCCAGCGCTCCATCAGCGTGTCGCCAAACTTGCACACCAAAAAAGAGGCTGGATTCTCCGCCTGGCCCGGAGATATAGCGGCCTGCTTTGCCTCTTGGGCGGTGACTTCCAGGCCGCTTGGCCTCCCAAGCCACCGGTACCTCCTTCTTTTTGGAGGGAAACATCATTGCAGACTCTGATATTGCCCATACAGGCCCTAGACTCAGACTGGTACCCACCTAGACCTAGCCTACACTACCGGCCTCTAAAAATGCCACTTTGGTCTTCTTCTGCCCGCCCTCCGGTACCTGCACATCTACCCCTTCCAGGTGCGGTACCGGCCTACCCGCTACTTGACTGCTTTTCCCCGCTGCAACCCCTCAATGTCACGGCCACAGGTAAGTACCGGCCCTGAGGGCCCAATGAACGAGCAAGTGCCCTGACGGGCCACACACATACTCATGCCAACCAGCACTCAGACAGGTACGGTCACACACACACCCAAGCCAACCAACACTCAGACAGACATGCAGTCCAGCAATCGTGCACACGCACACTCAGGCCAACCAGCACTCAGACAGGCATGCAGTCCAGCAAGCGTGCACACACATACTTAGTAGCAGGCGGGAAACTCAGCGAGGCATTCAGTCTATGAGCAAAACTCAAAAATCAGCTGTGTGTTTCAGTCCATGTTTGGACGGGTCATCACACTACTCCCCCCTCAAGAGCGGGGTCCCTTCGAGCGAGTAACTCATTCTAAGTCCTCGACAAACGCATCATAAGCGAACAAGGCTAAGAGATTCCTAGTGTACTCTGTTGCAGTGAGTTTGGCAGAGATCTTAGGTACAGCGTTAGTGGCGATTTGTCGCTCATATGCTTTGACAGCACGCGGTGCACGGCGTAGTAGTTCCTGTTTGGAAATCTAGTACAGATCGTCTAATGGGTGATACATGAAGTGAACCTGGTACTGTATGTTGCGTCCCTTCCCTACGTGCTGTTTGATCCTGTGTATCTCACGCCCGCCTTTGATCGTGCGAGGGATCATATCTTCGCGATAATCGAATGTCTTAGCATCACGGTGGAGGTACAGTTTGGATGCGTGGAACACGGGGTATGTGCGCAGATGGGCTGGCACATCAACGATGTACGAAAGGCCAAAGTAGTCTTCACCAATCACATCCAAAACTTCCCAGAGCCCATAATAGAGAGGGAGGAGTTTGCGTGAGACTCCCTCTTCTTCTGATAATTCAAACATCTTGACCCAGACATAGCTTCCTACCTCAATATCCGATGGTCGGCGCTTCTTGTTTGCATGATGGATCATGGCGTGCTATCGCTTGGTCATAGCTGCAATGGCAACTTTGAGCAAGCGATCATATTTGGCCCTGAAGCCAGGCCTGCCGGGTGTTGAACCAGCTGGCTGCTCAGGGAATAGGTAAGAGAGCGGATTCCGGATCTGCCAACCTTAATGCAGCCTGTTGGGTGTCATGCCGGTGGCGGAGTGGATGGAGTTGTTGTATAACCCCTTAACGGAATACAGCTCTTCATCCCATGTTTTCTGATCCGGGATAATCAAAGCGCGAAGAAGTTGAAACACAGTTTGGTTGATCTCTTCAGCCAAACCGTTGGCTTCGGGGTGTCGGCCAGATGTCATACACAGTTTGATCCCCAGTTGAGACGTAAAGTCCTTCCATTCAGTACTAATGAAGCGCGGATCCCGATCGCTCACAAGAGTCTTCGGGGTTCCGAACTGCAAAATGTACTTCTGTCGGAATTCACGAACCACTAGTTCTGTTGGGGCATGAGGCGGCAAAGGGATCAGATTGAGGAACTTAGAGAATTGGTCAACAATCACCATGACTTGTGAGTAGCCATTCTTACTTACCTTTCCCATGTCCGTGAAGTCAATGGAGACGGACTCCTCGGGACCATCGGGAATGGGTAGGGGTGTGAGTAGCCCCATCGACTTTTGTCTGCATGGTTTGATTCGTTGACAGACTTGACATTCAGCCACAAACTTCTCAGCAGTCCCTTTCATGCCAGGCCAATCAAACCATCTCAGCAAATTTGCGTACGTTTTTGCCATGCCGAAGTGTCCGCTGCGGCCATGAGCCACATCCAAAAAGTGCGTGCGGAGAGGCTCATGGTTGGGCACACACAAACAGTCGTGGGTCCTGTAGCGATGAAAAATCAGTCCCCCATAATCCTGAAAATCAGAATGACTACTAGGATCAGCCCGCAGCCGCTCAAGGATGGAACTAAGTTCCGGATCCTTGGTTGTCTGCTCTACGAGCTCCTCCTTAAGTTTTTCCCGGAGGTCGTAGGATTTGACAAGGCAAGTCATGTACTCGGGGTGGCGAGACAATGCGTCAGCGACCCGATTATAACAACCCTTTTTGTGTCTTAATTCAAAATCAAAGATGTCAATCTCATGGAACCAGCGAAGCAAGGTAGGGGACACGGTAGTTTGTTGTTTGATCCACTTCAAGGTCTCATGACCTGAGAAGACTTTGAAGTGGCATCCCAAAAGATAGTATTTCCAGTGATCCAACACCATACGCAAAGCATAGAGCTCGCGCATGTCGGTGGAAGTGGCTACCTTTACGCTGGGCATGCGTTTGCTGTAGTACTCGAGTGGCCGCAAGCCATCGCCGTCATCTTGTTGCAATACTGCAACAATTCCATACTGACTTGCATCCGTAGTAACTACGAATGTCAGTTTGGGATTTGCAATACGGAGTACCGGGTAACTTACCCAGGCGTCCTTCAAGGCTTGAAAGGCGGTCGTGCACGCGGTGTCCCAAGAGTAGGGAACATTCTTACTTGTTAGTCGAGACAATGGACGCGCAACAATGGAGAAACGGGGTACAAACTTCCGATAGTATGATGCAAGACCAAGAACAGAACGCAGTTCGTGAATGTTCGCCGGTTGAGGCCAATCGCGTATGACCTCAACCTTGGTTGCCTCAGGCTCCAGGCCTGTAGCAGACAACCGATGACCAAGATAGATGACGCTATCCTCCCCGAACTTAGATTTCTCTAAGTTGAGATGGAGTTGCGTTTTCTTGAGGATGGTCATGACTTCCTCAAGGTGCTTGAGGTGTTCCTCCATGGACTTGCTGAAGATCAGAATGTCATTGAGGTAGACCACCACGAACCGGCCAATCTGTTCGCGGAGGACTTTGACCATGAGGCTTTGGAAGGTGGCCAGTGTGTTCGTGAGACCGAAGGGCATTACGGTGAACTCGTAAAGCCCATCGCGTGTTTTGAACGCAGTCTTGTGCTGGTCCGCAGGATCGACTTCAATCTGGTGGTAGCCAGACTTGAGATCGATCTTGGAGAGGACCTTGCACCCACCAGCGGCGTCAAGCAAATCATCTATACGAGGCAATGGATAGACATTCTTTCTTGTGATGCGGTTTAGACCGCGATAGTCAATACACATGCGAAGTTTACCTCCTTTCTTTGGAACAAACAACACAGGAGCACCAAATTCAGATTCACAAGGTTTGATCCACCCCTTGTCAATCATCTCATCAATCTGTCCCCGGAGTTCCTCCAACTCGCCGGGTCCCATTCGGTACACGCAGCCCTTTGGAGGAACAACACCTTCAACCAACTCGATGGTGTGTCGGACCGATCGCGCGGGGACTCCACGTGGCTCGACCAAGACTTCTGGAAACCGATCGAGGAGGTTTTGGATGTCTGGTGGGTCCAGTGGGAGTGGGGGATCAGCAAAGGGATCGCCTAGATCCGGTCGCAGGTCGCGTATAGAGACGACCGAATCTGAAGTAGGATCATTTGGACTATTAGAGGTTGGAGAAATAATGGTCCTAGAAGAAGAAGCACTAGAAGTAGAAGTACTAGACGTAGCATCACTAATCGAAGTAGTGTGGTAGTAGCCGCAAAAGTAGATGGCACATGGGTAGGACGAACAACAGCAACATACAACTGTTCTTCCTCCTTATGCTTGCACCATTTCTTGCAGAACTATATTGCATTCAGAAAAGTCATTGGGGACTCGTGCTTCTCATCCAAGAGGACAGGAAGCTCGTTCCCTCTTTGATCATGAAAAAAGACTCCTTCCACTTGGTCCATTCGCATTGGGACTGCAGCCAACCCGAGCCAAGGACAGCGTCGTAGGGGCACATGTCAAGAACATAGAAGTTCAATGCGTGGGTGACAATTTTGTCCTTGTCAAAGGTAGTGCGCACACCTTTGACTGCATGCGTAGAGGAGACAACTTCTTTGTTGCCAACTTGGGTCCAACAAGGGTTCTGCAAGGCCACTTGCTTCATCCCCAAGCCCACTTTGCGTATCCCGTGAGGTGACATGAAGTTAGTCGTAGCACTATAGTCAACCAAAACACGGAGATAGCGGTGGTTTATGAGAAGTTTGAAGAAGATCAACTTCACCGTCCCTTGGGCACGCTACTGTTTCATCTCAGCCCAATGCTCCAAGTGATAGTGAAAATTGACCGTCCCAGACTCCTCCCAAGGCTCGACATACAAAACATTACTCACCTCAGCCTTGTGTTCAGCAGATGTTTGGGCTTCAAGGGAGGACTGCTGATCTGCCTCAGATTCAATCTCCCCTGTTGTAGAGTTTGCTGAAGTTGACTCTACGCCCGGTTCTGGTTTCCCTGCAGCCTATAACAATCTTGCACCTTATGGTTTGGTTTTTGGCAATGCAGGCATACCCCCTTCTTGAGTCTACCCCGCCAGTCATTTTCAGTAATCCGGAGGTCGACCCAAGGTTTAGTAGTCGCATCCTCCGGTTTAGGTGGGATCTTGACTCCCTTGGGAAGTTGGACATAGTTTTTCCCTGAACTCCGATTCGGTCCCTTTGCATTGGCAGTCTTTTTAAAGGCAGTAAATTTTTCTTCTTCTTTGTTTGCATCGGACTCATGGGCTGAAGAACAAGTATCAGAGTCCTGTTCTTGGTCGTCACCAAGAGTGGGGTCATCTGCATTGGCTTCTTCTTCGGCCTCCAGCAGGTCATGCACAGCAAAACGGTTGCTGCCTTTGAACCGTCTGCCGCCCATGGGCTTTTTGCTGCCTGCTGTGGTGACGAGGTCTACAACCTCAAGACTGACTATGTCCTTCATCAAGGTGAACCAGTCAGTGTAACCAATGAAGTCCCTGCCCAGGCGATTAGTGAAGCTAGTGGGAACCGCGCCTTTGACCACATCGAAGCAAGATTGAGCAGTTAGTTCCAATCCAGGTGTGGCGAACATCTTGCTAAGATAGGTCTGCAGACTTTTCAAGGGGCCCGTCCACTTGCTGCGCTTGATTTTGTCAAGCTGAATTCTCGCCCTTGCCGCAACATGTGGATCCAGGTATTGTGAAATGAGGAGTTCCTCGAGGGAGGCAACCGAGGTGGCCTTAAGACATCTTGTTAGTTGGATTTTAGGAATCCCAACTCGCGTAGCTTGGACCTCTAAGAAGCCCCGAACGACTGGCTCGACATTCATTCCCATGATCACTGACTGATTCTCAGGTTGAGTCCCCAGAATCTTGAAATATGCCCTCATGGAGCTGAACCAAGATTCGATGTCTTCCTTGCCATCGTACTTAGACGGTATTTGAACCGCCTTACGATCCACATAGGGACCGGCGTAGCCGGGACCAGCACCTGCTGGTTCCAATCTTGGGGCTGCAGCAGTTGCAAAAGTTCCAGCCTCGTTGCTTGTCACAGCAACAGCGGAATCTTGCACCTGTTGCAGGTCCCGAGGGGGTTGCCAACACATTCGAGGACGAAGGTACAGTAAGAGGGGCAGAGGCAGTTTCAATTGCAGCTTCAGATCCAGGGGGTAGAGGAAGAGGGTTGGCCACTTGGGCCTGTCGCAGCTCAGCCACCTCCCTTATCAATTCATGGTACTTGCAGGTTATATCAGTCAGATCATCCTGAAGTGTTTGCAACTTTGCGAAGACTTCAGCGATCTGAGTGGTATGATCCTCAAGATTCCTGACTTGAACAAGGGTTGTGAGTATGGACTGCAACTGTTCCCCACACTGCTCTTCAGTCAGTGAGGGAACAGTCTCTAGGATGGCCACTTGCCTTTTCAGCAAGGTCTCCTTCCTCTCCTTCTCTGCCCCCTGTTCCCTTTTAATTGCACTATCTAAGAGTGCTTGTAGATATGGTTTTTCGACATCATTGGCTGCATCCAACAAGGCCCGCCATTGCACTGTAAGTTAGCTGAGCCATTTTTGGACTTTCAGTATGGACAGGTAGGTCCGAGAGTCGCCAGTCAGCAAAGGAATCAATTAGACTCTCAAGAGGTCCACTCTCCCTTTCACTTGGACGAACACTCCTTTTCCCAATCCTTGCCCACTTCAGACGGTCGCTTTCCCTCTCTCCCTTTTCTCTCTCCCTCCTCTCTCTCTCTTCTTTCTGGCTGCGAGTCTCCACAGACATCGGAAATGAACTCAGAGAAACGAACTGAAAAGCTCAGAGAAGAGAAGGTAGAACTCCTAGCCGGAGCGGCATTTCATTTGGAAGTAGAGAGCAGCAAAAGAAAAAAAACAAACAATTTCAAACGAGAGGTCTGATCCAGCGACCCAGTTTGATCAGACTGCATACGAGGTCCTCTCGAGTCCAGTCTGACCAGCTCCGTGACCGTACAGCAAATCAGACAACGAGTAACTCAATGCAACAATGGAGAATTGAGTGGTGTACAGGGTGCGAGTCAAGCCACGGACAGTGCAATAAGAAGACATGCGAGACGTCTCAGCCAAGATCCCCTCGACAGTGGGTGTCCTAATCCAAGAAGAATGAACTCGTATCCCAGCCAAGAAGACAAGAGGTCAATGCCTAACCGATTTGGGTCCAAAGGCTCTTCTTGTTTGGGCCCGGTCCCGCTGGGTCCCAGGGGTCCCACGTAGGTCTCAACCAGGTCCCAACCAAGAGGAGTTCCCCATGAACTTAGTTCAGTCTCTACTGCACTGAAAAACGAAATTTCAACTTCTGACAGAACCTACAGACTACAACCGTTCAGAGATGAAAAGACAAAGCACTGTAGAAAGACTCGACATTTAGGTCAAGATACTTCATTTTCCATCCATCAGGTGAGTAGGTAGATCACACGCATTCAGTCACACAATCAAGACCACAGAGGAGTTGGAAAAGAAACCCAGAGTACCCCAGCAGGGCAATCAATACCATACACACATACATGGGTATCCCGTAGGTGCACGGCACTTACCTGAGTGGCCTTGAGCTTCGAGATGAATAGAACTCAACCCCCCTCTCATGTGGTCCTCCTGACCCCTCTAACGCTACCCCTACACTAGTGTCCTATCTCCTAGGAGGGTCTGACTCCAACACCAGAGTGCAAAGCCGGATCCCCCGTCAATGCTGAAGATCAAAGTAGCAACTTGCGGTCCGTAGATGCTAAGTGGCCGCTGACCCTCAAGTTCGCCTACTTGAGGGCAGTCCTTAAGTTGCCCAGTGTCTCCCTTGAATCAGGTTCCAGGTGCGAGTGCCTCTCACTGTCGCCTCTCTCAAATCGCCGCATGAAGTCTCCTCGAAATGTCTCGCCACCCTAATCTCACTCTCAAGCAATCTGGTTAGGTTCTATGTTGACCCCAC